TACATGCTTTTCTTGCTTTGCGTAGGAGCATTCTTTGGAGTTCTCTTCTAAGCAAAACTTTCATTCTGCCCCCCATGTGATGGCTCTACTTGTAATGCTATCATACCTTTCAATTGGGGGCACTATCAGTCTATTGTAGCTTAAAAAAAATTTGATGGGTGGACTACTGGGAGATAAGAAACCAGTAGCACAGAGTTTAGAAAAAAAAAAAGCTGATTGAGAATGTATAGATTTGTATTAGCTTTAAATATTGACATTGTATATGTGCAAACAAAACTAAATGAAGTGATTTTTTTTTAATGGAAAGTTTTGATCAAGGTGTGAAGAAATAATAGTACAAGGGAAGAAATAGTAAGGGCCAAGTGGGAAGCGTGGTGGAAAGGTTAAGTACGCTTGGCTTGGCTACCTATGAAGGGGCCTCGAGGTTCGACACCCGACTCGGGGAGAGTTGTGTTTACTGAGCGCCTAAAGAAGGCAGCACGGAAAACCTTCTAGATACCCCCTCCCCCCACTGGTCCACAAATGAGATTGGACCAAAGTGCTCTGAGCATGCTATAAGCATGAAAGTAGCATTATATAAATGCAATAATAAAGTAAGGACAGTTTGTGTGAAAAATGAGAAATGAAAGCAATGTTAAAGAGTTCAATTGAATTTGGTGAATGCTTATGGATTACCCAAAATACTATATTTTTATTAATGGCTAGTTAACTAAATGTCCAGTTTGCTTGACCACGTATGGTTTTGTATGTTAGCATACAGTGTATGTAAGCCAGTGTATGAAGAACGAAAACTTCCAGCAGTGCATTCAAGCAGTAAATGGTTAACAATAATCTTATTATTCAGTATGATCATTCAGTTGCTATTATAAGGAGGAACAGGGCAGAAAGAGAAGTGTTTTAATATCTTTTGTGTTGAAAGAATTGCTCCAGGAATGTTTTTTTTTTTTGTTTTTGAAAGAAAAAAAAATGTAGTTTATTTCTTCTACTTTTATTTATTTTAATGTGTAGCATGTTTTTTTGTTTCTCTTATTATAAAACATAACCCCAAAAAAAAGACTCTTCAAGAGAAAGTTATTATTATAAAGTAATCATTACATAGTCCAATATTTATTTCAACTAGTGTACACTTTCTAATTTTTATTATTGAAATTATATAACTATTGGGTGTTCTAACTGAATCTTAGTTAAGTGATATACTCATTTATCAAAGTAATTAAGGTTGTTTTTTTTGGTTTGGTCAAAGAAACATGTGCTCTAAAAATATGTATCAACACACTTAGCGCTTTCAAGGGCAATAGCTCAACTATGTTTCGCTGCCATTGTTTTGTTGGCTCTATATAATCTGCATTCACCGATGTTGGTCTCCATGGCTCAATTTTTTTTTATATGCAGGCCAGTGTGTTAGACCATGCTGCATTCAAGATTGCAAACATGACTTTTTTACTAATGCTTAAAACTAGGAAAATTCGTGAACATGTAAAAGAAACTTTAGTGGCTTGATGGAGGGTTGACCAAATCTTCTTGAATACATGAATACAACTCGGGATGTCGTCATGCTTGATTTTATTCAAACCTATTTTTTTTAGAGTGTCATTTTGCATGTGGCTAGTTTATCACAGGATGGCTGCTGGGTCGTGCTGTGGGTGCGCTGGATTGTCATTCAGTTGTCTTGAAGGTCATACATTATCATTCTGCAGGAGGTCTGGGCTTGGATGTAGATTATCTTCAACTCTGAAGGAACATCTGAAAATTGGAAAATATTTTTAAAAAATGTAATTATATTTACATCATAAATATTAGGTTTAAATCTAGTGGCTGATTTGCAAACTCAGTAGGTAGAAAAAAATATTTAAGTAGGAATAGTTATTTCTCATGTTAAACTGGGTATTGATTGGATAAGCAACATTTCAGAATGTATGATTCGTAATTAAAAAAACACAAAACCAAGTAGCTAGAACATAGTAAACATGATCATGTATCATAGAATGTCAATGTTATTGGTTTGTAAACACTATTTGACATTAAATAACATCTATTAGGTACAAGTTCATCGTTATTGGAGATTTTCACTATAAACTTAACCATGTCAAGGACACTAAATTGAATGTCCCAGTTGCCAATGAAATCAAAATGGATTTTAAGAATATCTCATATGCAGGGCAGTTGATCTTCATACCAACCCCCCCTTGATTACCTCTACTTAGTTGTCCATTTTGTTTCTAAACAAATTTTTAAATCCTAGAGTGAAAGTCTAATGGTTCCTCCATACTGAAATTATTTTGTGCTGCAATCGGAAGCGCTTAGAACATTAGATTCTGCAGGGCCAAAAAGTGCACACAAAATATATTCTTAAAAAAAACAACAGCTTATCCACATTTTCTTTAGTTTGTACACCAGAGACACCAAGCTGGGTATTTATATTTTTTTTTCTGCCATGCTTGATAATCTCCATTATTTCATGGCATATTTTTTAAAGTGATATTTAATAATTAAACAAAGCCAATGACTGTACAATCTTTATATTTTTAAGTACAAAAATGAGATAGTGTTATTTGGAAAAGTCAAAGTGTGAATAAAGTGCACTAGTTCACAATAATGTAAGTTATACCTTTTTAAACATTTTAATTGATTTTCACTATATACGCTATCTTTATTTAGAGAAATAGCATGGTATTAAAAAATAATGAATAGTAATATTTCTAGTCTTTGTGGGTCAAGCATGATGAATATACTTAAAAATACTTTTTTTTTTGTTTCGTGTTACTTTATACATCTCTTAGTCATCCAAGTTTTTTTTTAATAAGTTACTTTATATTTTCTATCTCGGGTTATGTCCTGATTTTGTGTTTTCTTTGTAGTACTTATAGTCAATTCAATCAATTTTCTTATCCAATTGTTTGTAAGAAACTTGGCAGTAATTTTGTATTTAAAGGGTAACCAAGTGGCATTTTGTTTCATTAACATATGCTAATGTGTTACTTAGGGCTGCCTGGTTGCTAGAGTTCAAACACTGCTTGCTCTTCTGGTGTCTTTGGGGGGGGGGGGGGGGGGGTTGGGCTAGGATGTAATAATCTTACATTCTGAAGGAACACCCAGAACATGTCAATCAATTACAAACTATTGTTCTCAGACCACAAGGAGGAATAATTTTGCTGATGTTTTTTTTCAATGTCGACTGCTGAAACATTAAATATGTTTTTTTTTTTGTTTTTTTTAAAAGACTATTTCATTGGGAATATTTTTACAGGTAAACCAGAAGACAGGCACAGAATGGGTTGTGTGAATTTTGGTTCAACTGTGCCTCGGCTCTTGAGCAAACTTTTTCATTTGCCCTCTAAAAAACGAAGTGAAATCAATTCTCTTTAAATAGTGCTTTTACTATAAAAAAATGGAGAATCCATTTTCTATTATGCATTACAAGATAATGCAAGCACATGTAAAATACAAATTATAAGCCAAGAAGGAATTCTAGTATCAATTTTGGTGCAAAAACAAGAAATGTAGTGCTATTTTTATAGCATGTAATGAAGATATTGCTTTTTTTTTCTTCTCCATTTAGTTTCTCTGCCTGGCTGATTTATAGTAAAATAATTTGTCTTCAGAGGCTGTTCTTTTTAAAAATGTTTTTTTTTCTTTTTTTTTAAAAAGATGACATTGACATATTGGATAAATGTGAATTTGTATATGTATAGATGCCAATGATGCAACCTTTTAACTTGAGGCTGTATACCACTGTATATATGCAAGTCAACTCATGAAATGAACAAATCTGTACTATTTATTGAATATTTATCCATACATTATTCATGACTGGTGTTCAAAAACCAAGACTGTTAGTTGTTATATTTTATGCATTTCTAAAAACTTGAGAAAAAAACAAAGAAATATATTTATATATATATATATATTTATATATATATGCTTGTGGCACGAATATATTCTTTGGTTACATTGAGTGAGTGCCTTGGTTAAATAGAATTGATGACTTTCAGCATCAAATTATTAGCATACTTGCATGATGTGAAAAGGTGACAATCGTTTCATTCAACAGTTCAAAGTTTTTGTAACGCAGGTCATGTCATTATGGATTATGCATGCATGTATGTTTTATGCAATGAGAATTAACTATGTTTCCAACAAATTTTCTCCCCCTTATGATTCCTGTGTTTAGTGTCTATGATAATGGACTTGATGTGGATTCATGGTTTATACATGTTTGTATGATTTTTCAATATGTCAAATGTACACTTAAAATAGGAGAGGCTTATGGTTTACATATACAGCATATAAACAGCAGACATATGTATACACAATCTATCTTCATTCCCCTTTCCATTTCATTTAGAAAATCATTTTGTGTAAAAGGCTTTAATATGAAGACATTAGAGGAGCTGTGGCTGAGTGACAAAGTCATTGGCTTCCGGATCCTGAGTTCAACTCTCGCGCCCTATAGAGCATAAAGTCTGAAAGGGAAACTTTTAATATGGAGACATTGTGGCCATGTGGTATAACAATCTGGCTTCTGATCTATATAGTATTGAGTTCAGATCTCATTAAAGGCTGGTATTGTTCAAGAAAGTGGTTGGTCTTTGTGCTGACCACATGACACCATTGTTAACCTTGCCCCTTCAAAAAAGAAAAGATGACCTTTACATCATCTGTTCCACCCATCACTGAGTCTCCAAGGGAAACTTAATAAAATTTTTTAACGAAATGAATACATTCATCTCATGCTGTACAAATGGTATTTAAATAGAAATATCACTGTTTTTTTTTGTTTTTTTTGTATCAAAATGTGAAAAATATCAGAAAACCTATTTCACTTTTTTTGACTGCTAATAAATGTGGATAGCAATATTCATTGGCAGATAAACACCTGTCATAGCTGATGTGCTAATGGGCAGAAAGCGGGGGGGGGGGGGGGGGCACGTGCCTAATATGGACCTCAATACTACCTTGTGTTTGTGTAGTTCAGGGGCTAAGATGTGTCTGCTCCAGAAAGCCTTTCAATTCCCCCCCCCCCCTAGTTTGGCACCAACCAGTGCCCTCCAGCACCGCTTCTGCACATACACACCATGGAGCCAGTAAATACTTTGATGAATTTATATTTATATTATGTACATCTAGAATGATGGTCCCACTACTACTCGGTGGTAACAGTCTCGTGTACCATAAAAATGTGTGAATGAGAACCATGCTTCAGTTGATTCTGTCCCCCATGATGTTGTTATATATTTCAATTCAATGTGGGAGAAAGTGACCCCCCTCCTCCCCCCCCCCCCCTCTGTTATTTTATTTTGTTTGTTCCAGTTGTCTTGTGAAACTTTGCCCTCCATGAGTCGAACTCTATAAAAAAACAAAAAAACTTTTTTATATGTAAATACCTTGTGACCTTGATGTACATACAGCTCATTGAAAACAAATCATGTGAAATAAAGTGAAGCATCCACTCAGTTTAGATGTTCAGTAGTTACATGTTTTTGTTGTGCTGTATTTGTTTGTCAAGACTTTCTTTCACTATCAAAGTTTGTATGTTCAGACTTTCTTTCACTATCAAAGTTTGTATGTTCAGACTTTCTTTCACTGTCAAAGTTTGTATGTTAGGAATTCCTCTCACTAAATTTTTTATAAACAAATGTACTTCAATCTTGAGAAACTTGTTTCAAAATATAATTTACCTCCCAAGATATATAGTTGCACATATTCCGGTGAACTTAAAGTATGTAGCTATTTTTCTGGCTTATACTGTGTCAGGTGCCTGGAAGAAGACTAATGTCAGATATTTTCAGATATCCGTTATGTCTAGTGATTATGGCCCAGGGAGTGGTTTAACTCGACCATGTCCTTAAGCCCTTATTAATTCTATTCTAGCAGAGGCAACAGAGTCTACTTACTTATCATTAAAACTACATTTACAGCTAAATTATCATGCGCTATTGCTTACAGAAAACAAAACAAAAAACAACCAACAGAGGTGCTTAGAAAGCAAGATATTTTTTTTATATTTCAAAAATCTGCAAACAATGAATAGCCTATGAAATACAAGGCGTCATAAAAGGGTAATAGAATATTTCTTTTTGTCCCAGTAGGCTAGTTGATATGTATACAAGGAATACCTCTATATAAGTTAATTTGGCAAGATTGGACAAAATAGTTCATCTATATGCATACATAGCTTGTTATATGATGAAAATGATATATATGAATAATAAAAAAAAACAAAGCAAGATTTAAATAGTTGAATAAAATATTACATAGATATTTACAAGTTAATTTACACAAGGAAAACAAAATTTCTTATCGCAATGAAAGTCCAGAATTAAAATATTTTTTTCTTGATGGTGCAGCGTATGACAGAAATAAATAACTACAATAAAATAAACAAAGAAAATAGCGCTGTGGCTTTTCACCAATCTCTCTGTCCGAAGTGATCATGTCGCTGGACACGGCCCCCTTGAGCCAAGCACGAGATCTCTCTGCCGTGCGAGGCCGGAGCCGCGAGGAGGCCCTTCACAGCTCGTATGGCCCCGTTAGGGAACGAAACGGTGGGGGAGGGGGGTTGGACGGGTTAGTGAGCCTTTGTTACATCCCTACCACCTGCAATGTACAATGGCTAAATCCTACCTGTAGTAGCCCACTGAGAGCTATGTGCGCTACCGTACTTAGCCTATCCGACTCTCTTGACGGACATTTCCACGGAGGCGCCACGCTGAGGCGACGGTAGCTAGAATTTCCTGCGGTGAGTAGTTTCAATGTGTTGATAGGCTTACGCAGACCAATACCACTTTTAACTGGAAATACCACCCAAAGTGGCACAGAAATCCAAGATAGCCATAGCTTTTGTTCCTAGACTAGCGAGCCCAGTCTGCCTAATATTTTGCAGTAACGGGAATTAGAATCTATTTTAACATAAACCTAATTTAAACAATGTAATGCAATGACATCTAAAGAATCAATTTTCGTGACACTATAAATATCAAATACCAGAAAAAGAAGACAAATGAATTTGTAGGCTAATAATAAGGCTAGTCTTCGAGTCCGAAGATCAGTGAGCAATACAGTATTTCCCGTGGCTGCGCAGTCCCAGCTGTGACCTACATATTTTGCCACATCAAGGGCAAGCATAACCATCGTCCACAGGTGGTCGATTTAGATTTTCTTTTCGCCGTCTGCGTTTGTCCTCGGCAGCAGATTTTCGTTTGGTCTCAAATGTGTATCCCGCGGCCTTCGTGAGTGACCTTCAGCTGTCTCGTTCGGAGGCCGCATGCAACCAGGTGCTCTCTTCTATGTCAGCCAAGGAAAGTTGACGCCTAATCTGGGCCTTGTACATGTCAACACGGTGTAATAACTCCATAATATTGAAGAGACGATGAGGCTACTGTAAGACATGACTCACTACCAACAATTAATCCTTCAAGGTACAGTGGAGGTCCACGATGAAAAGGTCGCCCAAAGAAAATCTGGCTGGACAACGTACAAGAATTGACCGGCCTGTCTCTAGATAGCCTGCTAAGAACAGCTGCTGACGAGGGAAAAGTGGAGGGATTTGGCTACGCTAACTTTCACAGCACCGCTACGACGAAAGTCAAGGGACAGATGAAATGAGATAGCCAACTAATCAACGTCGTCACGAAGTTCAGGACATTTACTATGTAGTTTTCTTAGACTGAGTGTAGCAGTAGAAATAAAGTTCTAGAATCTAGATCTTTATAATAATAACAACTAATTCGCTTGTCCCTAGAGACTTAGAGAGTGGGCGAATTCAACACTACGACATAAAATTACCGAAAAATCAAATAGGTCTTAGGCTTATTTTGGTCAAAGGTCCACACTCACAGCTAGAACTAAGACCGTTGCAACGTTTCACGTGTATAAACAAGACGATCTTAAAATCTGACCACGTGTTTGACCTACAGCTCTATTTATAACGTCTCAGAGTCAAAAGAGTTAAACAAGATACATGTATTCATGTTCATTCTTACTGCCCCAGACTTGCTGATCTCCGTCTCGGGAAGTCTGGGAAACCACAAATTCTCGACCTATACAATGTCATATATGCTTCAAATCTTAGTTACATATTTATTTTTAATCTGAATGATGCAGCGCCAAAGCGATGTCCAGGGAGAGGGGGGGGGGGGGCGACGGAAGAAAGGGACAGGAGCAATACGTTACACATGCACTGTACACAGATACAAACAATAATATCACATTTTGTGTTTCAAATCAGTAAAAAAACAAAAACAAAACTCATTTTTTAAAAAAAAACATCAAAACATGGATGGATTGGAATGATTCATTAATAGAAACAAATAAACAAATTAACTACCATAAATAAGTTTAACTACTGGCCCTCGTGAAATTTAACTCTTTCTCTCCGTAATTATTTACCACATTCTGGTGGAATCAACGTTGGTATCGTCAGTTAGGAGAGAAAGAGTTAATTCTTGAGTTGTAGGCTAAAAATCATAGAGTCTTACTTTCATTTTCATTTTAGAAGAATGATGGATATGCATTACAGCGGGGCCTTCTTGTACCAGTCAATGATCAACATAATCATCTAAATATGATACCTACTTCAAACAGCATCGAGGTAATCTTTATTTAATTATACCAGCAAGGCACAGCAAAATCTTCCATGCACTGTTAAGGTTGGCCCTAAAAATATCAAGATTCTGCAGTGTAATTATCGAAACTATTAATAAACATCATTATTAATTAATAAACAGTATAATTATCAAAGACAATGCATTGCCACCAGATCTATATTACAACATAAAATAAACAAACAACCACTGAAAGTGATTTAAAAAAAAAAACAAGACATTAATAATAAAAAAAAGGACAAATTTGAAAACTAACGTTTGGAGATTTAAGCGACTCTGGAACTAAATAGGAATATTCCTTATATCAGCCGAGGGGAATTAGACAACTGACCTTCGAAGCCCTTATCTTTTCCAAGCAAAATTCTTATTACCTGTCAGCGGGCAGTAGGCCTACGTGTACGCGACGTTTTGGCGCAACCGTTAGGGTGATGGTCGTTTTGGCGCGAAAGGCTCTGACGATAATTTATAAAACGCAAATCTTTTTATAATAAACAATATATTTTTTCACTATACTATACCATACCAAAGTATGTATAGTAAAAAATGTTTGTAAAATGTTTTACATGTTTCGGATGTTCCTTCAGAGTTGAAGATAATTACTTCCTAGTCCAAACCTCCCGCAGGACGACGGGGGATGGGAATGAGCAGAGACTGAACCCGGGACCATCGATAAGTTCGAACGACAGTCCAGCGCGCAAACCGCGCGACCAGGGGCCTACTGTAGTATACAATCTCCACCCCCCCCCCCACCCATCGACAAAAAAGTTGTTAAAATTTTGACTACTTCATGATCACATCTTGCAAACTATAAATAGCTGTCTGGTCACGTGGTATGAACTTGGGACATGTCGTGTAGATGATCCTGTGTTCGAACCCCGTTCGCCAAAATTTCCGCTCATACACGTAGAGCAATGTTGGTGATATAATAATAATTACACAAACTGAAGTACCAATCTAATAGACAAAAAAAAAAATATTGTTTTTTTTTTACATAGAAATTACGACTGAATATAAACACAAACACACCCAAAAAAAAACATAAATATGTTTCATTCTTGATAATGACACAACAAAATGAGCTTATAATGTGACTACACTATTTACCGCCAAAACATCCAGCGCCAATACGCTGCATTTAATCGGTCGTCGCACCAAAAAACGTCCTGCTTCGTTCAAAATTGAAGATTACTAAATGCTTGCGAAAACGTCCCGTGGTGGAGGATGTCAACGTGCAGGGTTTTATCCCTGAATCATCAAGAAAACAGTAGTGCCTACCACACGATCTTATCTTATGAAATATAGACGTTACTTCAAAAAAAGAAGATGATTACGTCCTTTGCGTGTTCCTAGGTCAATCTAGTCATGTATGCTACTCGATGACCTAAATTCTATCAAGTCATTGGTTTTCCTGGCTGACTCAGCAACCCATTCCAATACTCTAATTGCATTAGGAAAGAAGGAGCGTTTGTACTAATTTGTCCTAGCATATGGAACAAGGAATGTGCCTTTATCTTTGTGTCTTTCTGAGTATTTTATGAGGTTTTGTTGTTTGTATTTGAACTTTTGAAGATTATGGTTCAGTGTTTTATGTATAATTGCTACTTTACTTTTAAGTCTTCTATCATGAAAGGTTTCTAAATTTAGTGATTTTACTAAAGGTGTTACTCTAGTCAAAT